TTTTTTTTTTTTTTTTGGCTTAGGGCAATTTGGTTTGATTTGATTTGTGTGGTTGATGAGGAGCATTATGTGAATAGAATATATGTTTTATGCATGGAAAACAATGGGTTTCAATTATGTGTGTGTGAAATGGTCCTAAGGGGGATTGCTTGATTAATTAACAAGTTGACCATGTGAGCTTCACACAAATTTGAGGTTGTAATTATTTTCATTGACCAAGATTTGGGTTTTATGTACTTGTTTGTATGTAACATTGACTGATGCTCATGAATGTAACCTTTTGAGAGTACAACTGTACAAATACTTCTGCATAAGTTGGTATCTTAAATCAGTGTTGGCAAATTTTTTTTTAGTACATAGACCTTCCGGTTTCCGGATCCACAGGGGAATCGACTAATTCGGAATCGAGTCGGGTAGGACCACAAGGGCGGCAAAGCTTTCCCTCAAGAATTTTTAACACTGCTGCATTTCTCGAACACGAGACCACTGGTTAAGCTGGAAGAGACCCAAACCATCTCATCCAAGCGCTCTTGGGTAGTTTTCACAAATTTGACTTTTCAAAAGATCACATCTTTTACATTTTTGTAATGTAAAGGACTTCTTAAAGAACTAATTTATTCACCAAAATTATTTTAACTAATTGTTTAACACTCTCAGAAGCTACTTGAAAAGTGTTTTTTCGAACAACTTGATAGATTTTTTTTTAAAATGTAAATATAAATTTCCTTTCATCAGTAAAATCGGTTTTATCAAATAATTGAAAATATTTATTTACCCTGAAAATTACATGTAATGGGGAAAATACCAAAACCTTAATATAATATTTCTATTATAATAATTATATGTAGCAAGTTGAAGATCATATAGTATAAAATAATTCTTGTATACATTACATGCCACAATTCTTTAATAATGTCAATGCAATTGAAGTCGTCGATCTACAGCTAAAATAATTATAAAGTAAACAAACTGTACAACATTAGAGATTCGGCGAAGACTTTGACCAATTCTCCATGAGCATATTGGGCCGAGTAACTTATAATATTGGGTGCTTCATGTAATACTAGTTGGGCTTTTATTTATATCAAAATCCATAAGTTTTAAGACTGGGCTTTCTGTATTACTACACTCGAGAAAATCATTTTTTCATGATCGAGGAAATCGCTCTACTGATCATTTTTTAACAAGGAAATAAATACCTTGCTTTTGGCAGCGTGCCGCTATTTGTATTCATTTGCAATTTAGCCGTTAAATTTCGCTAAATCTCCGCTATAGCTACAGTGTCATAAATGTTTTAGCTCGCTATTTAAAACCTTGTTTTTTAAACAAACTAGTACGTATCCCGTGCGATGCACGGGATAGAGATATTAAATGAGTTATTTCACAATCTTTTCAATTTAAGTCTAAAAAGTAATAGGGCTATTATCTATTTTCTACCTCTTTTAATCAACATTAAGCCAAAAAACAATAGAGTCATAAGCTTTTTTCCACATCTTTTAGTCAGCGTTGTTTTTTTAGCCAGAATATTAAATATGAGCATGTTAGGGCTAACTTGTAAAATAATTAATATATTATCTCACTAAAACATTTATACTAATAAAAATTTAATTTTAGCATATAAATTTATCCATTGACATAAGAGAAAGTAACGATTTTATTTATTTTGTTCACCATATAATATTTAATTACTATTTTGTATATTATTTAATAAAAAAGAATACTGTTAAATAGTGCAGTAAAATTTTTATAAAATTATATGATTTCTTTTACAATATAGATTTAATATCATTTTATAATTTGATAATATAACTATAATATATTCTTAATGATACAATTATTTACTTAGTATATCTAGAATGCTGATAAATAAAAAAAACTATTACATGCAGCCAATATTCTGCTATAAGATAAGGTTTTCTCGTTATGATGAGGTTTTTATCCATCATATTTTTCTACACATCTATTAGATTAAAAATTTAGATGCAGCATCATTCTACTATAATTAAGATAAAGGTTTCCTCAGAGCGAGATGCATGTCACATGTGATCTAAACTTTTTGATTTTTTTTAGTTTGTTACTTTTAATTATCACAAATTTGACCGTGTGAATTGATTTACAACATACTGTACGTTCAATTTTACAACATACTCTACATTCAATTAAGATTGATTTTCATGTGCTAATGATTTATAAAGTTGATTATTAATTTGACCAAATATTTTGCTTATTGATTTATAAAGTTTGATTATTATTTTGACCAAACAGGAAAGATGAACTTGTTGGATCAATGTTGTTTATCTAAACAAACATAAAAGTTTTTCATATTACTTTTTAGACTTTATCAGTTTGTAACGTTTCATCAGTGTATGAAACATTTTCATGATTTTTTTTATTCCACGATTTGTTAATTCATTACAGTTTTGAACAATCTATGAAAATTATTAAGCTGCCTTCTGGCAAATATGTATGTGGCTATGTGTTCGTGTATCATAAGTCGCAAACATAAGGAATAACATTATAAATTATTCATTCAAACTTTTATTCATTACAATTATATTAAAATGATTTATATAACAACCATTAAATACCACTTTTAATATATTTATAAATAAAAAAGTACATAAAATTTCTAGTCTGTTCAAATTTAAATAGTTTTTTATAGGCTCAATTTTAAATCATCCAGACATTTGGTCAAACACATAGGTGTGTTCAATTTTAAATCATTGGCATTTTGTTCGATTGAAATTTAAATCATGTTCAATCATCTATCATGGTATTGTGATGTGTATAATGTATATATATATATATATATATATATATATTTAGATGTATATACAATTTTTTTAACAAATAATATGTGTTTTAAAAAAATAACAATAATAATTTCACAATATTTTAGACTTAAAATCTGATTTTTAATCACAATAGAAAAATCATGGTACGTTGTATTGAAAAAGTGTTATGGGATAAAATAATTAAATAAATAATTAAATAAAATACTTAATAAAAATATAATATATTATATACCTTTGACTTTTCTTATTACAAATTATAGTAAATAAGATAGTTTTTTATATAAGTATAGATTTAATTATTTTTTACAGAATAGATTCTAAATTTCATATTGTAGAGATTCTAACCGGAAAAACATCTATTATATATAATAGAAAGTTGGTTAAGTAAATATTTATAGAGATTCTAATCGGAACAAACATCTATTCCATATTTATAGAGATTCTAATCGGAAAAAATATCTATTCCATATTTATAGAGATTCTAATTGGAAAAAACATCTATTCCATATTACAATATGTAATTAATGAAAGTTTGTTAAGTTACTAATTTTAGACAATAATTAATGAATTTGGCGGGAAAATATTACTAAAAGTGAAATAAGTTAATCCTTATTATATATTAATAGACGTTTTTTTGAATAATTATTATTTCCTTTTTTTTTTTTTTTTCTCAGATTTCCTTTTGGGCAATGGACAAAAACCCTAACCCCAAACTCACAGAATCACATTATATAACGCACACCGCTCATTTTCTAGACGGCCGACCTCAAACCCTAATTTATTTCTGATAAACCCTCATTTCCCATCTCTATATTGAAACTTGCAGGGTTGAAGCTTGAATCGGTGCGTTTCCTTCTGGGTTTTTGCTCAATTCTTCAGTGTTGTGATCCGTTTTCATTTTTACGTACTTTGCTATTTTTTTGTTAATGAAGGCTTGAACAATGTCGGATGAGGAGAGGGAAGAGAGGGAGCTGGATCTCTCCTCTCCAGAGGTTGTCACCAAGTACAAATCCGCCGCAGAGATCGTTAACAGTTAGTTTTTGTTTTTTCCATTTCTTGTTTTTGAATGAATTTTGCTGATGCTTGATATTTTAGATGTTTCCCGCGTTTCGAGATTTATGTAGCTGCAATCTGTAAGAAAGTATTGTTGATATTATGCAGAGGCACTTCAATTGGTGGTGTCCGAATGTAGGGAGGGAGCTTTGGTTGTTGACCTCTGTGAGAAAGGCGATGCTTTCATCAGAGAGTGAGTAACATCGTATGATTTGTGAGAAATTATAATTCCAAAGCTTGTAATGATAGTAGTTCTCTTAGCTGCTCACCTTATTGATCTCTATCTTACCATATTCAGTCAGGCTGGGAACATGTACAAGAATGTGAAGAAGAAGATTGAAAGGGGTGTTGCTTTCCCAACTTGCATATCTTTAAACAACACTGTCTGCCATTTTTCGCCTGCGAAAGATGATACTACTAAGATTGGGGCTGGCGATGTTATGAAAATGTAAGCATTTATGTTAACAAATGCACATCTCTAATTTGTTGTGCTTTAGACGGTGATAATTAGAGAATGAGAGCTTTTCTTGTTTTCACAAATGTGCGTCTCTAATGGGTTGGTTGTATTTATCTTTTGGTACTTTTGCAGTGACATGGGGTGTCACATAGATGGGTTTATTGCTGTAGTTGCTCATACTCATGTAGTTCAGTCTGGGAAAGGACCTATCACAGGCAGAGCAGCCGATGTTATTGCTGCTGCAAATACTGCAGCTGAGGTTGCCTTGAGACTCGTGCGGCCTGGGAAGAAGGTATTTCCCTTTGATAGCTTTTCCCTGATTATTTGTTTCCTAGGGGTTCTTTCTGCTCTTGTGTAATGTGAATACATTGTGCATTGTTCTCTAGCACTCAGAGTCCATGTCTCCTATATGATGAACATGTGTATGAGCTATGGGTTGATATCCATATGATGCTATAGTCATAGTTACTCTGATGGGGGATCAAATTAATTTTTGTTGTTTATACAAAGTTTTTAACAATTAGGATTTGTTTAACGGCTCTGACGTTAATGTGGTTTCAGAGCTTCATCTGCTGATACTATAAAGCACTTTGGTGGGTGCATTCAGTTTTTTCTTTTTCATTCTCTGTTTTCCGTGGCAGGCAACTTTGCCGAGGTGATCAGATCCTTGTTGATCTCCTCTTTTTCCCTGTTGCCTATAATGGTTTTGGCCTATGCAGATAATTGGGTGGTGAAGTTCTAGTTGCGGCCACCCTTTCTGTCGGCAAACATTTTACCGATTTAAAAAATCTCGATTCTTAGCATTTAGTTTATTACGACTATCATAGTTTCAGATTCCTGTTTTGCCCGGACCACCTGAATTTAAATCTAATATGACTTAAAAAGAGATTAGAAATGCAATGTTTTGAGGAAAAGCATGATTCTCTAAATGATGATCACTTTGATGAGCGATGATTATATCAAGTGAGTGCTTTTATAGTCATAGTTACACTGATAGAGATTCATGTTTCCTTTTCTCAAACCTGTTGGGATTTGCATTTTCTTTTCTTCTGAAAACTCGTTTGGAGTGAAAAGGCAACTTTCACTCCTTTCCCTGTGGATTTCCTCCTTTCCCTGTTGCCAGTACTACTATGGTTTGTGCTTTTAGGTTTATTTTAGTTATTTCTTCCTGAATAATGGCAGAATAAAGATGTGACGGAAGCAATTCAGAAAGTTGCTGCTGCTTACGACTGCAAGATTGTTGAAGGAGTTCTAAGTCATCAGATGAAACAGTTCGTGATTGATGGAAACAAGGTTGTATTGAGTGCGTCAGGCCCTGAAACGAGAGTTGATGAAGCAGAATTCGAGGAAAATGAAGTTTATTCCATTGACATTGTCACGAGTACTGGTGAAGGCAAGGTAATTACATGGCACGGTAGCTTTCGTGCTCACATTTCAATTGATAAATTATGTGGTTTTGATACTGTATGATTTTTTCTTTAATGGAACTTGCAGCCAAAGTTGTTGGACGAGAAACAGACAACCATATATAAAAGAGCTGTTGACAAGAATTATCACCTCAAGATAAAGGCGTCACGGTTCATATTTAGTGAGATTAGTCAGAAGTTCCCCGTCATGCCTTTCACTGCCAGGTTATTTATATTCTACACTTGATCCAGCTTTCTCTATTGAATCAGGATACGTCTTTTTCCATTTATGGCTAACGTAACAGCTAAACAGGGCCCTGGAAGATAAGCGTGCTCGTTTGGGTTTACTAGAATGTGTTAATCACGATCTTCTACAGCCATATCCTGTACTTCATGAGAAGCCTGGTATGACCCAAACTATTTCAAGATTGTAATTCTCGAATAGAAGTTTTATCTGAGTCTATGTCTAATTTCATATAACACACAGAGTTGCAACTTGCCCATATTTATTCCCAACGGCAATATTACAGATTTTTATCCTTATAAATAAAGAAACTTTCTTATATTCATAGTTCCTTATGATGAAGCCTAACTATGCATGTATATAGGTGACTTGGTTGCTCACATTAAGTTCACCGTATTGCTAATGCCTAATGGGTCGGATCGGATCACCTCTCATACTCTACAAGAGTTGGAACCTACGAAAACAGTTGATGATACTGAGATCAAGGCCTGGTTAGCACTGCCCACGAAGACAAAGAAGAAAGGTGGCGGCAAAAAGAAGAAAGGTAAGTTTGAATTCTGAGGGTTGCTTTGAATCTATTTTCAATTCCAAGTTGGTGACACTGATGAGATATAAGTAATTCCTTGAAACTAAAAATGCGACCAAATCTTGGAACAAATTAGTTGATGCAAGGAAAATGCTATTCAAAAAATAGAGCATCAAAAACTGAAAAAGATCTGAAGACTAAAACTCTTGCTGCTACATAATCTTGTGCAGGCAAGAAAGCAGACAAGTCGGAGGATGCTAGTGCTGATGCCGAGCCCATGGAGTCGGCCGCTTAAGACTGAGAAATTTGAATTATATTGTTGAGTTGTGAAATTTTGGCCTGCCCAGTGTTGTTTGATAGATTGAAGTCCTGGAATGTGAATCCTTAACTTGGAATATACTTTGGATATGTGTGTGTTCCTGTACACCGCCCTTGTTGATTTATCTAATCGTCATTTTTGTAGAAGGCGAAATTTCCTCTAAAAGTTATCTAGGCGGCTATCGAACAATCATATGTGGATGCTAAGATGAGTAAATTATGTGAAAATTACCCAAAATGGCAACGCAGTTTTTGTGCTTTCATCCTAAGCTAATAAAGCTTTTTTTTTTTTTTTCCAATGAGCTAATAAAGCTTGCAGTAAGGAATGAGTATTTACAATGAAGTTATGTGACAAGATTGTGTTAATTGGCAAGAGAAAATGGCCACGAGCCCACGGCTCTAGACTCTTGTTTGTTGTCACAGGAGGACAAACGTTGGGCTTTCAAGTTATATATTGTTTTCTCTTGGGCTCGTAGTTATTGCGTTGTTATTGTTTTCAGTCTAAATGGCTGCCTATGTCGATAAACATTAGGCCGAGTCACTAGATTAAGAATTCAAGACAACCAAAAGATTGAAGGTTGAGAAGCATTAGGTACAACACTAACCTACCATCATATTTTTTGAGATTTATATTTGCATTATTTCATACTCAAACTTAAAGTTAATGACAAACTCCAATTGAGGTGAGAAACTATTGGCTTTACCTGATTATAATAAATACCAATTATATTTTGAATGAGTACACATAAAATAGTATTCTATGAACATCTAAAATTCATCAAGATAAGCATGGAAAACTCTCACCTAATGATATACACTCACCTGCACGTGTGAGCTGATCAGGGTCGAACCGAAGTTTAGGACTTGGACCTACAATCTAGTTTAAGCCCATTAAATTCCTTAACCAGCCCAAATCATCTCAGGCCCATGCCTAATATGGCAAAAAGCCTGCTATACATATATATAAGAGCTGGATCTTAGGGTTATGTTCATCAGCACTATCTCATTTCCAGCCTTGGGGAGCAATAATCGTTCATCGGAGCTTTTTCAGCAATGAGGGCCAAGGTAAAGCAATGCGATTTGATGCTTCATTTGATTATTGACTATTATTATAACACTAGCTTGAGCTCAATCCCTTTCTCTATGCCCCTCTCTTCTCTGTTCTTTTCATGGGATTTTGCAGTGGAAGAAGAAGCGTATGAGGAGGTTGAAGAGGAAGCGCAGAAAGATGAGGCAGAGATCCAAGTAATAGGGCTTTATATTTTCCTTTGTAATGCTTTCTGTTTTTGTGAACTCTCAATATGTAGCAGCGAGTTCCTTATTTTCAGAACTACATGTTGTGGATCGGCTGTTTATCGGTTGAGCTTATGATTTATGAAAGAATCAATTTTTCAATTCCTTTCATGGTCTTTACTTTAAATTTTACTTTTGGTCTTTCCAATTTTTGTGTGAAATGGTGTGTTCTTTGTGTGGATCCATCTTTCCGATGTGCCCGGAAATTGATTTGAATCCGATCTTATTTTGTAGAGTTGGATATGTGTATCTGTGTGGATCCATCTTTCGGATTAGATTGGAGTTGATAAGGTAACTTTGTAGCTATTTTGTGTAAGCCAAATCGAGCATAGTCTTAGTGCTGTATAATTAAACGAGGTGCTCGTGAGCTCGTCTCGGCTCGGCTTATTTGATGAATGAGCCGAGTTCGAGTTCATTTAAAGCTAAGGCTCGAAAAGATTATTTTTATTATTGTGGCTCGAGCTCGGATACAACAACTTGACAGTTGATGCAAGCATCGGTCGGGATCTCACTGAGTTTGCCCCAGCTATAAGCAGATTAAACCTTGCTCCTGCAATTTGTTCAACTTCTCCAGCTTGATAAACCAATCCAAAATGACATTTTTGGACCTCTCAAATAATTCAACTGAGGGGGAAATCCGTAGTTGGATTTGGAATGTGGGAAATGGTCGATTTTCTCATTTAAATTTTTCTAACAATCTTTTACTGGATTTGCAAAGGCATCTCTGTATCTCCCATTCTATAAGCGTTCTCGACTTGAGCTCGCATGTGTTCAGAGGTGAGCTCTCAATGCCCACACGATCGGCTCTCTGCCTAGATTTACTCAAACAACAGATTTACAAGCTCAATCCCAATTGATGTAGGCAACTTCAGTTTATTCGCCATAGTTTTAATCTGCTGCAAACAATAGCCTCACCAGAAAAATTCCTGAATCCTTTTGTCATTTGGCTTACCTGAAAGTTCTTGAGATGTCACACGATGAACGAGAGCTGGCCAAATCTTCAAATTACCAAATCTTCAAATTAATGACATTGTCTTCAATAAATTCACTGGCGAATTATGTCCCAATTGCATTGCCAGCTGCCAGCTGGAAAGGAATGACTCTCGACAATGGTATGGATTTTTGCGAGTTTCCTCTGAATACGAAATCATGTGATTCGAACGGCCCGGAAGAAAACAAAAGCTCGGGGCCAAATGTGCGGGGATTCATCTGGCTAGATTTACTTAGGGGCATTGGTTTGTGGTGTGTTTGTGAGTGTGTGTGTTTTATTTCACCTACTTATGACTGAGTGTCTCCATATTTGTGTGGAGTGTGAGCAAAAGAAGCTTTCAATATTGTGGCAGCATATTTTTGTTTAATGTGCATTTATAGTGACTATGTTTGGTAGAAAGTATTTGGAAATGTTTGCATCTAATTAGCTTGTGTCTTACAAGTTACAATTGTAGCCTTTTTTTTATTTTCTTATTTTATTTTATTTTATTTTTTTTTTTTGCTGCTCGATTACATTCAAAACTTCGTTTGCATAGATAGATAGGTCCTGACTTTTCATTTGGATTTCTGAGTTTGATTCTTGAATATTTTACAGTTTGTCCCGTCTCCTGTGTAAGGTCAAGGTTCTTCTGTATATCTTATAACGTGAAAATATATAACAAAACACCCATCAATTGAAGATGCCAAATAAAAAAAAAAAGGTTGTTAAAAAATGGTCCCGGCGGGGCTCGAACCCGCGACCTTCGGCTCATAAGACCAACGCTCTAACCGACTGAGCTACGGGACCATTCATTTTGTGTGTAAAACAAGTAATTCAGAACCCCTCATAAACATAAAATACAGTCTCATTACTCCAAATAGGTAATGTTGTTGACACACATCAAAGACTACAACAAAACACAAAGCTTATAATTAAATTAATTACTGATCAGCCCCCCGCACACACACATAATTATCAAAAGGGCCCACCAATATTATTATTGCCATAATACCAATAAACTGACGGCCATCCTCCTAACTCCTCAATCTCCTCAGACTCCACCTTATGATCGCCCAAGTAATCGTTATTATTATTATTAGCCGACAAGTCATGACCAGCATCGGCTCCAGCTAAGCTTATCATGGCTTGGTGGAGCCAAATCTGAGCCTGTAGAAACTTGACATATTGTATGGCTTCTTCAAGCATGGAAGCCGTGTCGAGCTTCGAGCCGCCGGGCACAAGGCTCTGCAAAATCTTGAAACGGTCACTTATGCGGTGGCGCCGCTGCCTGGCCGCCACGCTTTGTGGATCGGTCGAGAGCCTCACGGCCGAGCTGCCACCACCTGTCTTCTTCTTTATCTTATTTTGCTTGACAGCGTGGCGGCCGGTGGGTGCTGACGTGGACGTGCAAGAAGTAGGGTTTGAAGTTGAAGAGGAGTCCATGGATATGGTGTTTTGATATTTGATTTTTAGGGTTTCAAAAATGTGTAGTTTGTGTGGAGTCTTTTTGTGGTGAAGGAAGGCAAAGTTTTGGTGGTTGACAAGTTTATTAAGTGATGCTCATATATATAGAGTGAGAGAGGGAGAGACATTAATAGTGGGATGTGATTCAATATGGATTTTGATTGATTTTTTTTTTTTTTTTTTTAATCATAGCTAATTTTAAAAAAAAGTGGTTGAGCTAGGGTTGAGTAGAATTATGAATTTATATTATAATAATATTTAAAATAAATTATTAAGTTAGTTTATTGTAAAATTAGGAGAAAAATGATAGAAAGTGGTAGATATATATTATATGAGTAGATGAATAGTGAATTAAAGTTGATGTAATTTTAAGAATTATTAATTGATATTATTTAATTATATTGGTAATACTGAGGGTGTTAAATTGGACTAAAAATTTGAGTTTTGATTGATTTTAATTTTTTGGATAGAGTTGATATCCAATCACATCCAAAGCGTTTAAACGTCGCCTCATCGTTTACGCGCTTAAAATGACAGTTTAAAATTGTGGCGGTTGGGTGCCACCTATAATGTCTAGGACAATTTTTAGAATGGAGAAATTCTATTGGAAGGTCTAACTTTTTTTTTGGTACATGGACCTTCCGATTTCTGGGTCCACAGGGAACCGACTAATCCAGAATCGAGTCGGGTAGGACCACAAGGGCGATAAAACTCTCCCTCAAGAGTTTTAACACTGCTGCATTCCCAGGGCTCGAACACGAGACCACTGGTTAAGCTGGAAGAGACCCAAGCCATCTAATCCAAGCGCTCTTGGGTGGAAGGCCTAACTTTTAGTATATGTATTAATTTAAGGCCTGAATTTTATACTTTTTCAATAGAAGGCTTACATTTTAGGTTATTCTCACTTTAAGGCTTACTTTTTAGTCAACTTTTTATTATAAGGCCCAACTAACTTTACTTTTTCCTATAAATATGTAAAACCACTATTATGTGAATAAAAGTATTATTATTATTATTTTGTAATTTATATTTTACATACTTATAATAAAAAATACTAAATATCTTTAGTAAAATTATATTAATAAAAAATAAACCATATAAATTACAATGATGCGAAACTAAGATAGTAAAATTATATTAAAAATGAAACTATATAAACATCTATTATGATGCAAACTATATAAAACATCTAATAATAAACATCTATTTTCAATGATGTAATTTTTCATGATTAAACTTTTTGCATAAATATAATTTATATAGTTTCTCATCCTTGTAATTTATATAGTTTTATTTTATATTAATATAATTTTACTAAAGATAATTATTATTTTTTATTATGAGTATTTAAAATATAATAATAATAATAATAATAATAATAATAATAATTTTATTCACATAATAGTTATTTTACATATTTATATGAAAAAGTAAAGTTAGTTTGACTTTATAATGAAAAGTTAACTAAAAAACAAGCATTAAAGTGAGAATAACTTAAAATGTAAGTTTTCTGTTAAAAAGGTATAAAATTTAGGCCTTATATTAATATATATACTAAAAGTTAGGTCTTCCAATAGAATGTCTCATTTTTAAAACATACTCCCTCCTTTTTTAAATAAATGTCGTTTTGACTTTTTTGATTCATCCATTTGCTATGTATCTAGACATTAATATGTTTAGATACATAGCAAAATGGATGAATCAAAAAAGTCAAAACGACATTTATTTAAAAAAGGAGGTAGTAGATTATAAGTGCATATAATTGGCATACCGTTATATTATGACAATAGAATCGTGTATTTTTAGCAACATTAAGATTCTTGACATTTGAATTGTGATGATATCATACTACTCAAATTCAAAGAGCTAAAAATTTAATTCCAATAGAATATTTTAGTGTTAATCTCCGTTGTAAATTTTCACCAAAAAAAAAAAAAAAAAAAAAAAAAATTTT